GGAAGGGAAGACAGAGACACCGTTATCATGGATCTAATTTAAGCCTTGAGCTCTTGCCAGTGGGATTTTATCACGTACAGGCCACGGTGATTACTAAAACCTTATCTGGCATATTAGTAAAATCTACAGAGAGGATTATTTATAGTTACCTCAGTTCTTGGAATAATCTGCAAACACTTGTTGGGACAAGACACTGGGTACTCAGGACACAAGTTCTCCTCGTGATTCTGAAACAGAGAAAGTGCGATAAAACAGAGCCAAGGGTTCTCGTTTGTGGGCTCACAGTGACTACACAGACGTCTCTTTGGGGTGTATGTCATACAGCTTACTCTCTATAGCAAGTTATGGCCTAGTTCTAAAAAGGATTGAAGATGTCTGTTTTCTTGGTATAAACGAATTCAATTAAAAAATTGACTTTTCCAATTATTCCAAAAGAAGGTCAGAGAGCACAGGACCCGGAGAAGGCAGATTGGGGTATTACCGCCATGGCTCCCTCGGCACATGCATGTTTTCATGTCTACGTCCTGTCTGTCCAGGCAGATTACAGAATTTGGAGGGCAGGCTTTATCGTCGCCTCCCTGTGACCCGGCACCTAGCATTGCTCCTTGCATCGTCACACACAGCAGGTGCTCAAATTGTGTTTTTGCCAATGATAAATGGAGTTCTTCCAACAGAAAGGTTTTAAGGTTTTCGCAGAACTTCTCGCAGATAAACTAATTCTTTAGACCTGATTCTATACAAAAATAAACGCAGAAAAGTTCTTCTGGTATCCCACCTGACTCACTGTGACCGCTCAGGCAGAACTGAGCCTCATAAAGACGACTGCTGTGAGTATATGTATGTGTTTTTGGTTTTTTTGTGTTTTTTTTTTTTTTTACCTGTAGATTGATGACTATCACATCCTTTTTACAATAAAGGCATTTTTCCTCTCGGAACTGACAGTATGCACTCAAATGCTCTTTCAGATCTTTCCGCAGGACTGGTTCCCGACAGTTCTCGTTAGAGCACTGCACAGCTTGAAACAAGCACTGCTGAAGATGGTCCTGCAACAGACAAGCGCAGGCTGCTGAGACCCACCGACGAGGGCAGCAGGAGGGAGGGAGAGTGAGCAGGGGGCTGCCAGGCAGAAAGGCTCGCCCTGCGCAGGGTTGGGGAGCAGCGTCTCCGGGGAGGAGAGGGTGTGGGGAGGGCTGCTCGACTGGAGGCCGTGGAGGCCAGCCTTGTCTGGAAGGAATCAGGAGGACGGGGGATGATGGGCAAAGAGAGACGCATGCCACGCTTGTTTTAGATGATCCGGTAACATACTCTTATTCTCAGGTTAACTCCTGAATATTTTCCTTAGTTTGCCAGCCCTTCAAGCACGTTTTTATGTCTTCTATGCACTCTCCATCCCTACTCCCAGCACCAAGAACTGGTCTCCACACAGCAGGTGGTGAAAGACAGGACATAGGGAAAAAGAAGGAAGGAGGGAAGGTCATACCCTAACTCAATGAGGGAAAGGAAAGGATGAAGAGGAAGAGAGGGAAGGGAGAGGAAACTGTTGCCAGAAATGGTAAAGGAAAGGGGACAGAGGAAATACAGGCTCACAGGCCCGAGAGACGCTGGGGATGGTCAGACTCGTAAAATCAGGAAATATTCTTAACCAGAGTATCAGAGAACAATGACATGGTGAGTGATCATTCCAGGGCTCTTCACATTCTAGATTTTTCAAAAGCAGGCATATCTCAATCAAAACCTTTGGATCACTGCAAAATTACAGTGACACTGACAAGTTACTAAAATCTTAGTGACCTTGTGTCACTGCAAGATCCTTTAAAACAGGCTTGGCAAGCTAAGGCTCGCAGGCCAGATCCGGCCTGCTACTTGTTTTTATAAATGAAGTTTTACTGGAGAACAGCCATGCGTACTCCTTCACATCTTGTCCATAGCTGCTTTCCCTCTGAAATGGGAGAGCTGAGTAATGGTGACTGAGACTGTATATAGCCTGCAACACCTAACATGTTTACTATCTTGTGCTTTTATTTTTTTTA